CTCCCACCCCAGTGGGTCTGTGTCCCACCGCCGGAGGTGGCTTCTCTCATGGGGGACAACTACGGAAGGGTTCTTGTCCCCAGCAAAGGTGTTGGGGGGCGAAACATGGCTCCCTCCATCATCATCCCCACCCTGGGGTCCCCGAGCGCCCGCCGCAGCCCACCCCAGCCCAGGGAAGAAAGCAGAACGGGCACCTAAAAATGTGATGTTTAACGTTAAGAAGAATTTATTACATTCACCAGCAGACATTTGTGAAGGCGGAGACTGTCCTTGCCGTGGTGAACCTCTGGAGAGAAAGCCAAAGGTGTCACCGTGGCTCTGGCCCTCGAGATGCTCTGGTGCTCCAGACCCAGCACCCAGGCGCCCCCACGCCGGTGTCACCGGTTTTCAGGCTAAACACATTGTGCGCTGTCACGTTGCTCATCCGTCCCGTAAAGGACATCGCTGGATGGCCAAGGACCCGCCTAAGTTCACAGGGAGCCCTGGGAAAGGCTCAGATTGGGTCTCCCCACGGATCTCAGTGCTGGGGAGAGGAGGATTTCCAAGCAGTTAACCATTAGTTCAGCTATTTAGGTTCCCGGGATTCTCAAAACACCTTTACAAGAGACTCCATCCCTGATTTGTTCAGATCTAGAGAATGTGACCTCTGATTAAAGCAAAGTAGAAAAGATGAGGAGGGAAACTGAGGCAGGGAGCTACCCTGAAGGCAGTGGCAGAGCAGCCAGAGCCCTGGGCTGGTGGGAAGGAGGTGGCTGTGGACGAGGCTCGGTGGGTGCCGGTGTCACGGATGCTCCTTGTAACGGTTCCCTTGAGCAATTACATTTTTCTGGATCCAACTGGTTTGGGGGGGGTCTCATCCAGATGGCGGTCTCACGGCAAGAGGGGGGTGGTGAGATGAGACCTCAACCACAGAGCATCCTTAAGCCAGAGCGAGGAGGAAGAAGAGGAGGAGGAGGAGCCGTCCCAGGGTCACCAGCACGCTGGTGGTGATGAAGGATACGGCAGCGGAGGACTCACCTGGAAGCAGAGGGAGACCCGGCGTGTGGGGAGGGCCTGGCAGGGG